CGTTTTAGTATCGATTTTACAAAACCCATGTTTTCTGATAAGAAATGTCAAAACAATGTCAGCGGTTGGATAATAAATATTGTATATGGTCAAGATTGTATTGCCTACTCAACATAAATAAACTTCTTGGCCTTTATTAATAATTATAAAAAAATATTATTATTATTGTTTATCTACTATTTCAGGGGTGAGCAATCTTTTTAATCAACGGGCCAATTTCAATTTTAAAATTTTTTGGCGGGCCGCACATCAAGTAACACTTATTAATAATTTACAAAACTTTATTTATAATAAACATTAGGATAAAAAAATATAAAATTTTAAAAAAAGTAAAGAAGAAGAGTTCAGAAAAACGAATTTACTTGAAATTTTTAATGAGAAATTTGGCACTGTTTTTTCGATACAAGCTGATCAATATCAACCGGAATTGATAAGGTAGCTCTACACTTACGCGCTTTCTAATCCTGCATCACTCATTCTTGATCGATGGTCAATTTTAATTAATTTCATGGTTGAACATAATTGTTCGCAAACATACCTACTTCCGAACAGAGACATCATTTGGTTTGCATTTTTCGTCAGAAGCGGAAATTTCTCAGGGCTGACATAAGATTTATATAAATTTTCGATGTTTACTGAAAAAAATACATTTTTTAAATCGGTATTATTCTGCATGTCAACCTCTCCCATTCGGGAACTGTATCAACATCGATATTAAATGGCGAGGAAAACATTTGCATGGAAACTGTCTTCTCAGCTTTGAACATTTGGAATCGTAATTGAAATTCGTTGATTAAAATGTCTATATATTGTGCGTATTTTTGAGAAGTAGTAACGTTTTCTTTTTCTAAATGTGGAAAGTGAGACACATTATTTTGCAAAGATGCTATTTCCACAATTTTAATTTTCGCTCAAAGCTTATATAGGAGAAAAATAATATACAGGTGTATCTGAATGACTGCAACAAACTTCAAGGGGTGATTCTTTAGTGAATTTTAAAGGTACTTTGATATATGAACCATGGGCGAGTTCGGCTCCCCTAAGGAGCTACACCCAGGAAAATGAAATTTGGGGAATATATTTAACTCATAATAGGGCACGTTTTGACCTTATTTGTACTTTCAACCTACTCTTCTAAGTTACTAAACATAACCACCACCGTTCAATTTTTGTCTAGATTTTTCTTATGACGGTGATAAATACATTGGAAATATTTTATTTAGATAGATGAAAATATTCTAAAACTTTTTTGCCTCTCTGATGTTCTTCCAAAAATTAATAGTTTCTGAGAAAAAAATTAATTAAGCAAACACTAACTGTTAAGCTGTAGGGTTGTTAATCGAAAGTTGGAATGAATTGTTAATGAAAAAATCTTAGTGGCTTTGCAATCTTTGTCAGAAATATTTTTGACGTTTAAATATCAGTGGTTTTCTTACTATTATTATTGTTTTGTTTAAAATTGTGAAACGTCGAGTGAACGAGCATAAATGCGATAAAACTTTATTTGAAAAACAATGATAATAGTAAGAAAAACACTGACATTTAAACGTCAAAAATATTTCTGACAAAGATTACAAAGCCTACTAAGATTTTTTCAATTAAAATTCATTCCAACTTTTGATCAACAACCTCATTGTTCAACGGGTAGTGTTTGCTTTATTATTTTTTTCTAAAAAATTAGTCGTTTTTGGAAAAATTTTAGAGAGACAAAAAAGTTTTAGGATACTTTCATCTACCTAAGTAAATTTTTTTTAAATGTATTTACCATCTGCATAAAAAAATCTAGGCATAAATTGAACGGGGGTGGTTACGTTTAGTAGTTTAGAAGGGTAGGTTGAAACTACAAATAGGGTCAAAACGTGCCCTATTATGAGTTAAACATATTACCCAAATTTCATTTTCCTAGCGTTTATGGTTTTTGAGAAAAACAAATTAAACCAAAATTTTCCGCCATTTTTGGAGGGGTGTAGCTCCTGAAGGGAGCCGAAGTCGCCCATGGTTCATATATCAAAGTACCCTTAAAATTCACTAAAGAATCACCCCTTGAAATTTGTTGCAGTCATTCAGATACACCCTGTATATGTATACATAAATGAATTAATTTAGAGGCGGCGCTACCGGGGGTTGCAAGAGGTGCACTACACCCGGGCGCCGCCTAAAAGGAAGCGCCGGCGCCTTTTAAATGTTTTCTCCAACAATATCTTATCTTTCTTTTGCAGTATTTAGACCTGTCAGCAGTAGCTAGTCTTCAGAAAGCAGTATTTAGTCTCTACAAAGCAATGTTAGTCTTTAGAAAGCAGTATTTAGTATTCCAGACGCTGTATTTAGACCTGTCGGTAGTATCTAGTCTTCAGAAAGCAGTATTTAGTCTTCTAAAAGCAGTATCTAGTCTTCTGCCAAGGTTATGTACGTTTTCTCCAAAATATTTTATCTTTCTTTTGCAGTATTTAGACCTGTCAGCAGTAGCTAGTCTTCAGAAAGCAGTATTTAGTCTCTACAAAGCAATTTTAGTCTTCAGAAAGCAATATTTAGTCTTCAGAAAGCAGTATTTAGTCTTCTAGAAGCAGTATCTAGTCTTCTGCCAACGTTATGTATGTTTTCTCCAGCAATATCTTATCTTTCTTTTGCAGTACTTAGACCTGTCAGCAGTATCTAGTCTTCAGAAAGCAGTATTTAGTCTCCACAACGCAATTTCAGTCTTTAGAAAGCAGTATTTTGTGTTCCAGATGCTGTATTTAGACCTGTCGGCAGTATCTAGTCTTCAGAAAGCAATATTTAATCTTCCAGGGCAGTATCTAGTCTTCAGAAAGCAGTATTTAGTTTTTTAGAAGCAGTATCTAGTCTTCTGCCAACGTTATGTATGTTTTGTTCTTGATACTGACAGCTATTACTGGTACCTCATTTTTGCAGCTGTTACTTTGCTTTTGCTTATCCGGCATTGGCAAAGTTTCCGTATTGGTGATTTCCCGTCCTGTGCAATAACAAGACAAGTCCGTTGGTTTCTTGTTCATATTCTTCGCATTCTTTGATTGAACACATAAGTATTGCCATGAAAAATCATGTTTGGTTTATAATCAATTTTTTTTTTGTTTTCTCTGAACAGTAATTTCAGACTTCATGTGGACTTTGAACAATCTAATTCCCGTTTTTTGCTGAAGTCTAGTTTATAACTATTGCAATTTCAGACTTTTTCTTGCAAATTAACCTTCTGACCAGAGTATAAAGGAAAACAGGAAAACAAAAAGAAGAAACACGACGAGTACAGTTGATAGAGAGGAGGAAAAAAAAGAGAAAAGAAAAAAAAAAAGGAAAAGAGAAGAGAAGCAGGTGACATCAAGAGTTAGATTCAGATAATTGCAGTGTTAATAGATAATCCTTTAAGCAAACCTTAAATGTTAGAAAACTCCGAATGTTGCGTATTTGCGTGGGTAAACTATTCCAAAGCTTTATAGCCTGCACCGTGAAAGATCCATGATATCTCTCGGTGCGATGAATGGAGAATATGAGTAAGGTATCAGACTGTGCTCTAGTAGGCAGACCACGAGACGACATGAATTGAAAGTTCGTGTACAGGTATATGAAAAATTTTATCATACAAATTGTGAATAAACTGTCCTTTGCCTTGAAGTTCCACATTAAGATCATTGAGATGCTGAGTCATGTCGATAAGAAACCCAAAATCGCACTGTTCATATCCAAGAACAATTGTATTTCGCTTTTTAAGTTGTATACTCTTTTTAACATTCCACCTCTACTAAGCCAACGTACTTCGGTATTAAAATCCACATCGCCATATTCAGTTTCTAAATCTTTCAGGAATTCTTTAAATTCACGGTGATTTAACGCACGCGACTTTATAAAATTGATTACTTTAATTATTGGTACTGTGACATTTGGCAAACTCAATCTTTTCGCACATACATTTTTATGGTGAATTGCTCGTGTTCCATCTGTCGATATACCAATAATCTTTTCTAATAAAATTGAAACATTTTCCAACACAGACTTTAGTTCATCGTACAGGTTTTGGCAGGTTGTAGTTCCTTTCATTGGAATCAGTGAACACAATTCTTCGGTAATATTAAATTTGGTGTCAATACTACGTAAAAATATAGCCAGTTGTGCTGTATCGCTAATATCGCAACTCTCATCAAGTGCCAAAGAACAGTATTCGAATTTTGCAATGCGTTCACGAAGCGTTGTTGCTATGTTCTCGGACAAGTCTTCAATTCTCCTTGCAATAATGAATCTTGATAAACTAATGTTTGAAATAATATTTATTTTGTCAGGAAATGCTATTCAGTCAAACATTCTTTTATCATCTCTCCATCCGCAAGGGGTTTCATTTTTTTTGCCAATATTTGACTGGCAACAAAACTAGCCTTTACTGCCATATTTGATAAAATAGCTTGATTTTAAAAAATAGCCTGCTGTTTTCCCAAGTTTTTATCCATTTGATTAAACTTATCTATCCGGAGTTGTCCTGTTAAGTTTTTATATTGTTGTTCATGTTTTGTGTCGTAATGTCTTTTTATGTTATATTCTTTTTATGTCGACACAGTCTCTGAGCATGAAAAAATGATCAAATTTCCGCTTTTCTTGAAAAATAAATTTTATCTACTTTTTTTTCGCCTTAATCACAATAATCAACGGGACGGATAATCAAACTCCTGACCTATTCTAATTGCAAATTCATTTTTAGCACGACATTAACATATGTACTTTCTAACATATGTAGTACGATCAATTGACTTACGGTAAATTCTAATTATCTCTACATCAATCGTGTCAGCATGCGTTCATGCGCATCTTTTTAGCACTCTCGTCTACCATCTGCTGCAAGATGGAACATTAATTTTAAAAATTTTATTACGACTATGTCAAAATAACTGTTAAAATGTTGTGATAAGTTAACTAAAAGAATTAGCTTTAATTAAATGAATTGCACAAACTTAAAAAATTCGAATATTATTATTATTTTTAATTTGTTTTCTGTGTAGGTTTGTGCATTGCGTAGTCGAGAATTTATTCCGGCCGTTTTAAATGATGGAATGGGCAAGCCGGTGAGAAATTTGAATAGCAAAACTGGTCTCAGCTACGACGATATGCTAAACGACGACTTCAGCTTCGATATGGACTCACACGACGTAATGGTCTTCTTGCACATGCAAAAAACGGGTAATAAAAAAATCTAACATAAAAAAAATTTCCTCCTTAATGAATTTATTTTAAATTTAGGTGGAACATCATTTGGTCGTCACTTAGTCCATGATTTAGATTTACAACGACCGTGCACCTGTCCTTTAACGAGAAAACGATGTTATTGTTTCCGGCCGCATTCGAATCAAAGTTGGTTGTTTAGTAGATACACAACGGGTTGGAAATGTGGTTTACACGCCGATTGGACGGAATTAACAAATTGCGTGGATGAGAAATTAGATGAACTTGAAGGTTTTATCGCGAAGCGACGATATTTTTACATAACTTTACTCCGCGAGCCGGTTTCGCGATATTTATCCGAGTTCAGACACGTTCAAAGAGGTGCCACGTGGAAAGGTGCTCGACATTATTGTAAAGGCCGAAACGCCACAAAAAAAGAGGTCGCACCTTGTTTTGCAACTGACACTTGGGAGGATGTTGGTCTCGATGAATTTATGGCATGCGATTCAAATTTGGCAGCTAATCGTCAAACGAGAATGTTGGCCGATTTAGAATTGGTCGGTTGTTATGATAAATCGTATATGCCGGAAGCGGAAAGGGATCGGGTGATGTTGGCGAGTGCTAAAAGAAACCTCCAATCGATGGCATTTTTCGGTTTAACGGAACACCAAAAAATCTCGCAGTACATTTTCGAAGAAACGTTCAATTTGAGATTTGGTGTTCCGTTCGAACAAAATAACGCGACGATTTCTAGTAATACGATGCCAACTTTGACGGCAGCTCAAGCGACGAAAATCGCACGATTGAACGCGTTAGATATCGAACTGTACGAGTTTGCGAAGGTGTTGTTATTTCGACGGTTTCAAAAGTTAAAATCGAGGGATGTTAATTTTCGGACGAGATTCGAACATTTAGGTGAACTGCCGAATCGCGGTACGGAATTCGATTGGGATAAATTGGAAACGGACGCTACATCAAATAATTCGCAATCTTCATAGGAGTTTATTTAAAATAATGATAAAAATCGTTTTTTGAGGTTATTTTTTTGGAGTTATGCACCTATTAAAAATATACTATTGTGCTAGTTATACGGAATTGAATTGAAAATATTAATTACATTACATTAATTAGATTTATTTTTAAAAAGAGCATAACAAAAAAATGTTTCTTATAAAATTGACAATAAGATTGTTTCTTCTAGCACAACACTTTAAGTAACCCTACAACACACTTAACTAATAAACAACATTGTTGTTTTTCGCCGAAAATATAAATGATAAACGTTAAAAATAATTAAGGTTGAAAATATTAAAGGGTAAAAAAATTAATTAACTTAATAAATTCCAAACGTGTATATTTGCACTGACAAATCATTTTATCTCATATCACCTTAAACGTAATAATAATAAACTATTTAGCCTAACTATTTTATTTAGCATGACGAGATCTTGATTGTCATAGGTTATAGGAAGTAAACCCGAAAATTTATTCAGGGTAAAATACACGTTGAGATGTTCATATCACAAAGTTGTTTGAAGTTTTTATCGTAGAAAGAAACGATTTTTTATGAATAAATTTTAAATCACGAAGGCAGGATTATTAACATGGTTCTTGTGAGATTATTGCTCAATTTTTTGATTGCAATTGGCCGCTGCTTTTAAAACGTTGCTAGTCGCATCAAAATCGGTAACTAAATAATTACTAATTATTAATAATAATTTATTATGAGATTTCTATTACTGAAGTAGTAATAGAGTGCTTCCTTTTTTATAATGGGGGATATTTGAATATTAAATTTTCAAGTGTATAAAAATAGCACAATGTATACACGTGAAAAAGAAAAAAGTAACAAAATAAAACGCGATAAATCTGTCAATTAACGAATGTGGATACAAAAAAATAACTTGGAAAAAAATGATCACATCGACCTAAAAAAAGGAAAAAGAAAATACTTGTGTGTGTGGTTTTTTTAAATTATGAAATATATAAGTATTTCTTTTACGATTATAAAAAGATACCAAAGAAAAATAAACACAAAACGCCTACTTTAAGTGGACTTTATTTTAAATAAATTTTTTTAATTTTATAGTTTTAAAACAGCTAACATTGTGATAGTTATTTTAAATTCAAGACCTTTTTTACGGTTTCTTTTTATTGCTAGTATTAAATTTTTCAGATTAATGGAACTTTTTAGTGCAATAAGTTTATTTTACTAAAAAAAGAAACACTACGAAATTCGTTACAAAAAAAATCTAATTTTTTATTAAGTACTTACAAAATAATTTAAAAAAAAGGTTGCGTAGATATATACCATTTCTATTATTATTATGTTAAGTTAAATTCGACTGATGTTCAGTTTATAAAACTGTGTTCAATAACGAAAAAGTAAACTTCATTTGTAAGTTATCCCGTTTATATTGAGTTATGTGTAAGTGTACTTGCATGATACATATTAAAAAAAAATGTGTAATATAGAAATCTAATTTTTTAGATTGAATAAAGCGTTTTGTAAGTAATCCAAAAACACTTTTTTTTTCTTTATTTTTACTATTATTATTATTATTAGTTGCTGCCAAATTCTATTATGATGGACAATTTTTTTATGGCTCTGCAGGATCCTACCCCATAAGCTACAGTGCAAAACGAAAATAATTATTTTCTTGTGAATGTTACAAGAAGTAATTTAACTAAAACACATCAAATAACAACTCCTCCTCCTGCAAACAAAAATAATTCTAAAAGTATCAAAACTATTACTGTTTTCAAACTGTTACTGTGGCAAGGAGAAACCATGTGATAGCAAAGAGAGAAGAGCTCAATTACAATCTTACAAACACAGGATGACTCATCCGCTAAGTCCGCAATTTTGTACTTTTCTCGACTCAGACATATCCCTTTAAGTAACATAAGACTGAGTGATTTCAGCTTTCTCATTGAGAATTGTATAATAATAATAACTCTTTATTTCCTACAGGTGACCACCCAGTTACAGGAAATCAAATATAACACAATACTAAATGAAATAAAAAAACAAAACAAAATTCTAACAAAACCGTATAGGTTTGATACAAAAAAAAAGAACAAACACTTAATAGAAACCTAATATTTAAGTATTAGTAATGCTTAAAGTAGCTCTAATTATCGACCTCAACGAGTCGCAAAATAGATCACAAAATGGTGATATTCAATTACAATAACCTCGAGAGCAGCAAAACGTAACTTGAACCTCTAGGAGAGTAAGCAAGATCAATACGATAACTTAAATATTTTAAAAGAGCTTTTTGGACTGATTCAAGACTGTTCATTGACATAATATTGATAATACGGACTCCAGACGAGATCTGATCAAAGCAAAAAATAAGGTTGACAAACATTGCACGGATAGTCCTCTACAACCACGCATAATAAAACCATAAATCAAGGAAGCACTTGGCCACAAGGTCGAGAATATGCTCACTGAACGTCAGGCCACTGTTGAACATCACACCAAGGTCTCTACACTTCGACACAGAATTCAAGGGTTGGCTGCCTAAGCGGTACACATAATCGATCAAGTTAATCTTTTTAGTGAATGTCATCGTAAAACACTTAGATGTATTGAGCGCCAGACAAAGGCACCACCCCTGTACACGAACCAGATTCCTCTGCAGATGCTTGCAGTCGTCGGCATCTCTTATGGCCGAGAAGATTTTGAGATCGTCGGCGAACAGCAGCCCCTCACAATCCAGGACCTGACTAACATCGTTAATGAAAGAAAGGAACAACAGCGGACCAAGATTAGAGCCCTGTAGGACACCCGAAGTTGGACAGAAACCATCGGAGATATGGTTTCTGTCGTCGACCTATCAAACTTATTTGATTCTATTAACAAAAGCAAGGAGTAGCTCAGACTGAGAATACTCAACTTATGCAGCAAGATAAAATGATCAAGCTGATCGAAGGCGTTTTGAAAATCCAGATACACTGCATCCACCTGTTGTCAATGATATCTGCGACGAATTGGATGAAGCATGATAGATTAGTGACTGTAGACCGACCCTAGACAAAAACATGTTGTAGAGGGCTGATATACTTCCGAAGATGAAATGATATGTGCCTGAATAGAACGCCTTCAAAAATCTTCGAAGCAACGCATAGCAGTAACATCGGCCTGTAATTTACTACTTTTTTCAAAATTGGGCATACGTAAGACTGTTTTCAAATGGATGGAAAAGACGTCGACAAGACCAAGTTAAAGATAGTAAGCAATGGCTCGGCCAGGATCGGAGCACAGTCCCTGAATATAAAGTCTGGAATACCATCAACTCCGGGCGAATGGCCCCGTGGTAAGCTCTCGGGCTACCACGCCGGCGTCCTGGGTTCGATTCCCAGTGAATACACGCCGAGTCTCCTCCCGTCCTTCGGAGGGGACGTCAAGCCGTCGGTCCCGGCAACCAGTCTAACATCTCTGGTTGTCGTCAGATACATGTGTAGTTGGAGGTTGTGAACGTAAAAACGGGTTGAATGCGCGTCTGCGCTCTTTGAGCGGTACTCAGCCATGCACCCAAGTTTCTGGGCGTTGGAGTACCAGCCCTGCTTGGGGGTCGTCTTCAAATTGCTGGCCGTTGGAGTACCAGCCCGGCTGAAGGCGAGGCGAGAAGCGGTATCAGCCTGATCGGATGCCATCTTCGAACATCTTTCGCTCCTCCAAATAGACCTACACATGGCCGAAGTAAACCGTGAGGATGTACAAAGAGACCGTTGGGGCCTAAGTGCTTTGGTTATACCACCCGTGGTTTAACCAACCTCACATGAAACTACATACATACATACCATCAACTCCAGCGGTTGAAGTATTCTTCACTTGCTTCAGCGCCTCTTCCACCTCCTCCAGAGTGAAACCAGTTTTTGCATAACTGGATGTAAAATTTAATTTCCTTTCAGTTTATACAGGTATCATGGTGTCTATCTTCAACGGTTTTGGAGATATTCCCGATTTTTCAGTTTTTAACGATAGATACTTATTTCGCAGCGCCGACCACCTTCCCCTCGCATTTTACCAGGCTTGGGACTGGCAGAAATATTACTGGCATGCTTAAAAAATGGCCAACAAAACACAAAAAGACCACTAGAAACAAAACATAAATAAAAAAACACTATTGCATTAAATGTTCAAAATGTTGTCCGTTTGGTCACTACATAATAGTAATCGTTTTTGTAAGGAATTTTCAACATTTCTGGTGTGATTTCTTGAACAGCTCTTACAATGCGTTGACGCATATCGTGAGGAGTAAACCTTGCTTTTAATGAAACCCTATAAAAAGAGATCGCAAGTGGTCTGGCGATTTCAGAGGCCATCTGACAGGTCCTCCTCGTCCTATCCAGTGGTCCGGAAAGGATACATCTAAATACCGACGTACTTGGGCCGTGAACCACAATCGTGTTGGAACCACATCCACTGACGAATAGCTAGTGGAATATTTTCCAACAGAACGCCCAAATTATTTCCTTAAAATGCTAAATAAATCCTACCCGTCAAACATTGATTATGAAAGAAAGGGCCTATGATATGCGTTCCAATGACACCTGCCCACACGTTCACTGACCATCTGTACTGGCTATGCGTTGCAAGGAATCGATGGGGGTTTGTTGTATCATAATAATGACAATTGTGACGATTCACAAACCCATTTTTGTGAAAGGTAGCTTCGTCCGAAAACATCATTTGTTCGAAAAAATTCGCATCAAGATAAGTTCTTTCAATTGCCCACTGACAGAATAATAGCCTGCTTTCGAAATCGCCTTCAGTAATTTATTGGTGCAACTGGATTCAATACGGATGATAATTATGTTTTCTTAAAATCCTGTGTACCGAAGATTTACTGATGTTTATCCTCCTACTTATTTCACCCACACTAGATTCTGCATTTTCTTGCACAGCTAACAATACGTGCAACTGGTTTTCATCGGTAAGTACGGCGTTATTACGGTTGCGCTTAGTACGTTTTACAGATCCAGTATTTGCAAATCTTTACAGTAAGGACAGAAATGCCCCCCTATTTGGATGCCGTCTATCTGGATATTGTTGTGCGTAAACTCTTGACGCTAACAAAGCATTCTTGTTACATTCGCAGAGAACGAAAACCGTATCTACTAAATCTTTCCACGTAATGACATTTTTAATTATTATGTTAACAAATAATACTTTGAAAACCAGTTCTAATGCGTGGAACACTAATGACAGTTAGTAACCTAGTTTGTTTTCCAAGCCTACTTCAACTTTTAATAGTATTCCAAAGCGTCGTCCACCTTCCATTTTACTAAGATTGGTAAAAGCCTACTTCGCAATACGTATCTATAGAGAAAAACTGAAAAATCGGGAATATCTGAAAAACCGTTGAAGACAGACACCATTATACCTATATAAAACTGAAAGGAAATTAAATTTTACATCCAGTTATGCAAAAAATTAAGAAGACTTAGATAACTTAGAAGTTATCTTATACAACACCGAAAACGTTTTGGGAGACCATGCGTTCTCTTGGCGTAATTGAAACTCCTTCCTGCCATAGCTTTGATTGTAATTATTTAGGTGCTTATTTTGCTAATTCGCCCACTACTCTCGACGAGTCAATCAAGAAGTCAACATTGCTCACTATCAGTGGTTCTGCTCTCGTCAATTCTCGGTTTTCTTTCACCATGTTTGAGGAGTCTCAGGTTCGGGACGCTCTTGCAAAAACGCGCTCTACAAGTGTCGGTGCTGACGATGTTAGTGTTAGGCAACTCCTTCCCATCTTGGACGTAATTACTCCACCATTGCTTCATATCTTTAATTTCTCCATAGAGTCTTCGACCTTTCCTACAATTTGGAAACAGGCCTGCGTTGTTCCCATTCCTAAGATTAAGTGCCCTACTCGCCTGAGTGATTTTCGGCCAATATCGATACTTTCCGTATTATCTAAGGCACTTGAACGCTTGGTGTACAATCAAGTGCAGGATTACCTTGATGAGCATAAACTACTTACAGACTATCAATCTGGTTTCCGACCGGGCCACAGTACCACATCGGCACTCATCAAGGTTACTGATGATATTAAGCGTAGCTGTGACGATCGACGAATAACCTTGTTAGTTTTGCTGGACTTCAGCAAAGCATTTGATGCTGTGGATCATAGCTTACTGGTGTCGTCTCTGTCTGCTATGGGCTTTGCCCCTGAGTGCGTTACTTGGTTTAGATCATACCTTTCTCAACGTTCCTTTTGTGTGCGTGACACTTCATCTTCTTCTTCTGTGTTTCAAAGTCATAGTGGTGTGCCTCAGGGAAGTGTATTGGGTCCATTACTCTTTTCAATTTTTATAAACAGTGTTACCAAATTCATTTCATGCAACTATCATTTATATGCGGATGATCTTCAAATCTATACATCAACAACTGTGAATGAGCTCCCGGTATCCATGGCGCGGCTTAATGATGATCTGTCCAGGATACTTGACTGGTCTAAATGTTTTGGCCTGAGTTTAAATATTGCCAAGACGCAAGCTATAGCATTCGGCTCAAAACCTTTACTTGCAAAATTTTACTCTTCCAATGATACGCAACTGATACTCGGTGACAATGTTATACATTTCACCAATACGGTCAAAAACTTGGGGGTGACAATGGACTCAGCGCTGTCTTGGCGGTATCAGATTCAGTCTGTTTGTAGGAAGGTCTATTTTTGTTTTCATTCTTTGCGTAAACTTGGTTGTTTTCTTCCCCTTGCTGTCCGTCGTAATCTCTGTTACTCATTAATACTGCCCCACATAGATTATGCTGATGCTGTGTATCCCGACCTGGCAATTACCCTCCGTAACAAATTAGAAAGATTGCAGAACAACTGTCTACGCTTTATTTTTGACCTGGGTAAGTACGACCATGTTACGCAATATCGTAATCACCTTCAAATGTTGACTGTCGAAAAGCGCAGATCATTCCGTATACTGACAACGCTGTATAAGATACTTTCTTCTCGGACCCCAGGATACTTGTACACGAACTTTCAATTCATGTCGTCTCGCGGTCTGCCTACTAGAGCACAGTCTGATACGTTACTCATATTTCCCATTCATCGCACCGAGAGATATCATGGATCTTTCACGGTGCAGGCTATAAAGCTTTGGAATAGTTTACCCATGGAAATACGCAACACTCGTAGTTTTCTGACATTTAAGGTCTGCTTAAGGGATTATCTATTATCATTACAATTATCGGAATCTAACTATTGATATCGCCTGCTTCTCTCCTCTTTTTCTTTCTCTTCCTCTCTATCAACTGTACTCGTTGTGTTGTTTTTCCTCTTTGCTCTTTTTCTTCTTTTTGCTTAAATGTTGAATTATTTATATAGCCATATTGATTTTTTTTACATACGTTGCTGGTTGGGTCTTTTGGACTCAACCTTAACTATGTGGCAATAAACTTATTATTATTAAGTAAACCGTAGAATTTGAAACTTTGTACGTGTTCAAAAATCAAATATATAACGAATAGATAATTCAATAGTTGTAGATAAATAAAATTATCCGATTAAAAGTCAAACTCTTGCGTATTTAACCCCGAATAATGTTCTACAGGTGTCCCACCTTAGTTGCCTCGGTCCATAGCCGAATTATGATTGAGTTGATCAAAAAATGTTTCAGATAAAAGTTGAATCGAATTATATTGTACATATTTTAAAATTAGAGTCAGTAATGTCGGACTTCCGCTTCTACCAGAAATTTATATCAACTTTGTTATTTTAAGTGGAACATCCTGTATATTATTGCATTTTTGGATTCTTTGTGAAATTTCAATGGTACTTTGTTAAGGATACCTTAACTGGTATCACTTTTGAATTATACATATGACGATTAAAAAAATCGTTTTTTATCGAAATTTTCATCGAAAAAAATTACATTTTCAGCGTCTTTTAATTTTAATTTTTAATTTATATACTAGATACTTAGATACTTAATTCGCAAGCGCCGGCCACCTTCCCCTCGCATTTTACCAGGCTTGGGACTGGCAGAAATATTACTGGCATACTTAAAAAGTGGCCAACAAAACACAAAAAGACCACTAGAAACAAAACATAAATAAAAAAACACTATTGCATTAAATGTTCAAAATGTTGTCCGTTTGGTCACTACATAATAGTAATCGTTTTTGTAAGGAATTTTCAACATTTCTGGTGTGATTTCTTGAACAGCTCTTACAATGCGTTGACGCATATCGTGAGGAGTAAACCTTGCTTTTAATGAAACCCTATAAAAAGAGATCGCAAGTGGTCTGGCGATTTCAGAGGCCATCTGACAGGTCCTCCTCGTCCTATCCAGTGGTCCGGAAAGGATACATCTAAATACCGACGTACTTGGGCCGTGAACCACAATCGTGTTGGAACCACATCCACTGACGAATAGCTAGTGGAATATTTTCCAACAGAACGCCCAAATTATTTCCTTAAAATGCTAAATAAATCCTACCTGTCAAACATTGATTATGAAAGAAAAGGCCTATGATATGCGTTCCAATGACACCTGCCGACACGTTCACTGACCATCTGTACTGGCTATGCGTTGCAAGGAATCGATGGAGGTTTGTTGTATCATAATAATGACAATTGTGACGATTCATTTTGTCACGATCTCATTTTTGTGAAAGGTAGCTTCGTCCGAAAAAATTCGCATCAAGATAAGTTCTTTCAATTGCCCACTGACAGAATAATAGCCGGCTTTCGAAATCGCCTTCAGTAATTTCCTGGTGCAACTGGATTCAATACTGATGATAATTATGTTTTCTTAAAATCCTGTGTACCGAAGATTTACTCTACTTATTTCACGCACACTAGATTCTGCATTTTCTTGCACAGCTAACAATACGTGCTACTGGTTTTCATCGGTAAGTACGGCGTTATTACGGTTGCGCTTAATACGTTTTACGGATCCAGTATTTGCAAATCTTTATAGTAAGGACAGAAATGCCCCCCTATTTGGATGCCTCCTATCTGGATATTGTTGTGCGTAAACAAAGCATTCTTGTTACATTCGCAGAGGACGAAAACCATATCTACTAAATCTTTCCACGTAAGTGACATTTTTAATTATTATTTTAACAAATAATACTTTGAAAACCAGTTCTAATGCGTGGAACACTAATGACAGTTAGTAACCTAGTTTGTTTTCCAAGCCTACTTCAACTTTTAATAGTATTGCAAAGCGTCGTCCACCTTTCATTTTACTAGGACTGGTAAAAGCCTACTTCTTTTACCAGTCTTTAAAGTCTTAAACTTTAAAGATCTACACTGATGGTTCAAAAGGACGAAATAGTGCAGGCGCGGTGGTATTCTCTCCCGATCCCCTGATTCGCCTCTCAGAACCTTTAGGGTCCAGCATTGTTGAATCCAACAAGCGGGGTAAGTGTTTTACTAAATAGTATACTATTTAGTAAACTGTTTTACTGAAACTGTTGGATTCAACAATGCAGTCAGCAGCAAGTTTAGACAGTAAACAATCTCTTTTAGCTTTAAGCAGAGCTATTATAACGTCTGCAGTAGTTATGGATTGTCATAAAGCACTGGAGGAGGCCGCGAAATACAATTCTGTCAGAATCCAGTGGATTAAAGGGCATTCCGGCTCCAAGGGTAACAACCACGCGGACAGGCTAGCCAAACGTGCTGCCGGTAGAGCGCCCTGTGCACCCGAGCCGATAATTACCCCCTCCTTAGCCACTCATATCGAGTTAATAAAGCACATTACCCACAAAAAATTTTTAAACGGGTGGGACCGTACCCCGGGCTGTCATCTCGCTAAGGAATTGTTAAAATATCCTTCAGCCGCAACAGCCCAGTTTTTCGTAGGGCTCGGTAAAAGTGCCCTTCGCACTGCCACAGGTCTCCTCACGGGACACTGTAAAGTAAATAAGCACCTTCAAAACATGAAGCTTGCTGACTCTCCTCTCTGTCGAGCCTGTGAACAGGATGACGAGACGGTTAAACACATCTTGTGTGATTGCCCCTCTCTGACCGACCTCAGAATGAGGACTTTCGGGGAGGAATGGCCAACCACAAATGACATCAGGAATGCACCTCTAGGAGCTGTCCTAGCCTTTGGTAAATCCTTAGGCTGGTTGATGTGACCAGCGTGTGTAATGGCAGAATGCACAAGGGGCCCAATGGGGCCTAAGTGTGGCGTGCGGTTTTGCATGCACTCTCCAATCCATACATACACAAGCCTACTTCGCAATATGTATCTGTAGAGAAAAACTGAAAAATCGGGAATATCTGAAAAACCGTTGAAGACAGACACTATTATACCTGTATAAAACTGAAAGGAAATTAAATTTTACATCCAGTTATGCAAAAACTGAAATATTGTTCCATTTAAAAAAATTAAGTTATCCATGATTAAAAAGTTCGCAAATTACAGATCCCTACTTAAGAACTCCGTAATATAAATGCATAATTTTCTATTGGCAAACGTGTGCTCTTTTATGGTTAATCCAAAATAGAAAACCAAATCTTTCTATCTTTCACAGTTTCGGCAATATTACCAAATTTATAAGACGCTACAAATGTCATTTTTTTTCGAAAATCGTCATATAATTCAAAAGCGATTCCAGTTAGACCTAAGGTATTCTTAACAAAGTACCATTGAAATTTCACAAAGAATCCAAAAATGCAATAATATATAGCTAAAATAACAAAGTTGATATCCATTTCCGGTAGAAGCGGAAGTCCACCATTACTGAAACTAATTTTAAAATATGTACAATATAATTCGATTAAACTTTTATCTGAAACATTTTTTGAAAAACTCAATCATAATTCGGCTATGGAACTAGGCAACTTAGGTGGGACACCTGTATATAGAAAAATTAATTAAAAAATAAAACTTGATTGTGTGATAGGACCAGTTTAATTAAAATATATAATATTTCTTGTACATTAGGTACATAAAATAGTTTTTGTTCTTATTAAATCTGTCCACAAAAGCAAATATCATTTTTTTCAAATAGTTTAAAGTGTGATTATAAATTTATATTTAAACATTTCAATTATAAATAATAATGAATTTTTTTTCTGTTATTTTTTACACAGATAATATACAATCTTACAGTACTTACACATTATTAAATAGAGAGGGCGCTCTAACAAGTTGTCTGTTTTGGAATTGCATCAAGCTAACGAAATTTAATACAATTACAAATAAATAACCTTAAAATTTAAAAGTAGATATTCGGGACAATAAAGCTACATAATTAGAACCCATCTGAAACACTGGATTAAGATTAAGAACTTTGGATGGAAATCTTACAGAATTATCACAACAGAAATAACATTATTGTTACATAAAAGGATGGATTTTTCTTTTTTGTTATAAGAATCTTTCTTCTTGTAATGCTGAAGAATTAGAAATATATATAGAATTTGTTATACCACCTTTTTTGACTTTTTTTTTAATTTTTATAAAAGAGATTGTTCCAACATTATTTTTTCAAATCCTGCTGGTGTGGAGTAATTAAAGTTTTCAAGAACTATATCTAATATAGCACCATCATCAACTACAACAAAAAGAATTCAAAACAAATATTAATTAAAAATAAAAAAAATACCATATAAAACTGGATAAACAGTTCCTTTAACCCCAGTTATTGGAAATTCAATTTCATTTCCATTTAAATAAAATTTCATTTGAATATGATCATAAGAAACACCCACAACATCACCTTCTTGTGGCGTTTTATGCACTGCATCTCCATTTGCTAAAGTACCATTTAATATTGAACCTAATCTATACAATTCCTGTTTATTGTGCCTAATAGTGTTATCGCTACATAACGACCAAGAAAATTCATCCATACCACCTGAAAATAAAACAATTTCTTTGATAACTCCCACACAAAAAAAAAATAATTTTTTAAGCGAAAATCACAATAAGGATTAATTGATAACTTTATCACTTTTACCTTGAGTTAAACTTAAATCCGTTTGTCTGGTTGCTAAACCGACCGCCCACGACCCCCCCTGTTGAATTTTAACCTCAAAATAAGATTTTGATTGAACCAGGGGCGCATTACCAAGAGCAGCGCCAGCGCCACATAATCTTTGTCCCGATTTAACTATCACAACTTCATATCCTAAATAATAAAACACAAAGAAATCGTTTTAAAAATTACATTTTTCGTCTTTTGATTGATTTATGATAATTACCCATAAAAGCGGTGTCTAATTGTATTGGGTTTTCTCGCGGGACGTGGGGTACGTTTGGAGTAAATCTAAACCCATCTAAACAGCCTCTTAAACAGCAAAAAACCGACACAGACGTCATAGTGATATGTAAAGTTTACTGTGACCTAACCTATAAATTACTTGTTAGATGTTTTGACGTAACGAAAACGATTTCGATATATATATTTAGTAGAATTGGTATATAATAGACAGCACAAAAAATAGAATTATTTATCAGGTGACGTCATCTATCGTCACACCACCAGAATCGCGCGACCGCGATCGCGAAAATGAAACGCACGTTGTTCAGTATGAATCGAAGCGTCTGTCACGTTGACGTTTTTGTTGTAGTTTGAGGTTAAGTGTACTACGTACGTACCGTCATCCGCGAGGTGTCCCGTTTTAAAAGAGAAAATATGTAAACGACTCGTAGTTTCGATGACAAATTCCGATTTGGGACGCGTCCAGAAAATGGGAGAATCCTCCATTCTCGATTGGACCCCGTTGGAGATCGAAATCTGGTTAAAAAAGGAAGGTTTTGATGAAGACGTCGTCAAGTTCGTCTGTGTGGAAAACAAGGTTAACGGGAAATGTCTTTTAGCCATAAATGAATCAGATTTTTCGATAGATCCGTTATGCAAACTTCCATTAAAAGATCGTAAATTATTATACATTGCTCTTCGCGCCCTTCAACGCGAAAATCAAACGTTGATGATGGAACTTGGTTTAGTAGAATTACCTTCAGTGATTTATCCGGGACACCATCAACAACATTTTCAACAACGTAGTGAATTAAACGATTTTTATTATGAATCAGACCGTATTTCGCCTCCCGCTTCTGAAGACGGAAGGGCTTCAAAACTTCCACCAGAAATCGGTAAAGCCTTCCTTAGCTTTTGCTATGTGGTCGCCGTCACGTGGATCACCGCTTTTGTGATGGTTATTGTGCACGATCGCGTACCAGATATGAAACGATATCCTCCTTTACCTGACATTTTCTTGGATAATGTGCCACATATTCCTTGGGCCTTCGATATGTGTGAAGTGACCGGAACTTTTTTATTTACAATTTGGTTAATTGTACTTCTATTTCATAAACATAGGTAAGAATGAAAATTCATTAACTTAATGCGTTGAAGTTTGTACGTATAGGTTATGTTTGTTGTCAAAAACTTAAATGTCAATGATATTTAAGGTTATGTTTACCCGTTTAACCTGTGGCACAATTTATTTTTATGACGAAATTTTTTTTATGTGTCATAAAATTTTAAAGTTCTTAGAAAACTATTTGAAGTAGAATTTTTTATTACTAAAATATGACTAATTAAATAGCTTTTAGTTGTGTTTGATTAACACGTCATTATCGCATTGAGGTCGATGTGCTTGAAAGATATTTATAGAGATATAAATTCTAAGAATGTTTACTATTATATGATACACAAAGTATTTATTGTCTCATAGCAAATACGAATAAATTAAAAACTTTTACTTTAACAACTTTCGTTAAAACTATAAATAGAAAAAGAAATCGCTTTTTTTTTACTATTTACACTCAAAGGTTTTTTTTTTCTAAATTATTTATTTCTAGATTTATACTGATGAGAAGGTTTTTTGCCTTATCCGGAACGGTGTTTCTTCTCCGTTGCGTTACCATGTTAATAACATCATTAAGCGTCCCAGGGGCACACTTACAGTGCGAGCCAAGACATTATTCGAAAGATGGGTCAACACTTTTTGGGGATTTGGCTTTCAAGATATCACAAGCTTACGTTATTTGGCGAGGGGCAGGAATGTCTATTCAAGGAGTTCGTACTTGTGGTGATTATATGTTTAGTGGACACACAGTGGCTCTAACAATGCTTAATTTCTTTATTACAGAATGTGAGTATAACTTATAGTACTTTTGATTTATTTTTATTCAGGTGGCATTTGTTGCTGTTAAATTTATTTGGAATACAGTAAAACCTCAATATAATGGACCTCATTAGAATGGATTTTGGATATAACAGACAAAATATTGTTAATACTATTAATATTATCTATTTAATACTTCAGTATATTTAAATGTAAATGTTAGTGCTTGAGCTAAAACTAGAAAAAACACCTAGAACTAGAAACATTTCATTATATTTTTGTTACTCAAAATTATTGTTCCTTTAATAATGAATACTATTTTGTTGCTGAATGCCTTCCCATGGGGATGCCTTTATCCAAGGTTTGTATATAAGAGGTTGTCTAGGTTTATACGCAACCATACTGCGCATTACGTCATTGGCTACAAATAATACAGGGAAATAATTCAAATTTTTAAAATAATGTAATTTAATTACTTTAATATATTTAGTGTGGTATATAATTAACAGCGGTAGTAAAACGGAAAATAATTCAACTTAATTTTTGATATAAATTCACTTATCATAAAATAATTGGGGGAAACTAAAGTAGTAATTGAATTATGTTACATTAGAGAAGACACGTTAACTCTCACTAAACATGACTTTGAGGTTGCGCGCGCAATCCGTGACAACTTACGTCACGAAACACTCCTGCTCTTGCCCCTCGCCAACAAATTAAAATCAAAGTATTGCAGCATAAGAACTTAGACAACCTTTAATATATAAACCTTGGCCTTTATCTGGTATATTGACAGACATCTTCCTAGACTACAATGAAAATAATTTCATAATGAATGATAATAACCCATATAAAACATCGTTATAAAAGATCTCATCAAATTCCATCAATATTTGAATGCTATACATACAAATTTAAGCTTCACAATTGAAAAAGAGCAACAAAATCAATTAAATTTTATGGATCTTTCCTTGATTAGAAATAATAATAATCTTATGGAATATGATATTTATAGAAAACCTTCAACCATACCCACTACTGTTCCTTATGATTCTGAACACCCAAAATCTAACTAAAACTAGCTAATTTCAGATTTTTATTTCACAGAGTTTTTAGTTATCTTTTATCTGAAGACAATAAAATAAAAGAAATAAATTACATTTATACTTTGGGATACAACAATGGTTTTCCCAAATATATTATTGATATGTTTTATAGAATACAACAATAAAAAGACCCCCTTTTCACTAGGTATATTAATAATAAACGTTACAAGTCTCTCACTTATAATTATATTACTTCAGATGCTCAGCTCTTTTTTTTCAAGTTCTTTATCTCTATAGCCTTTTCTAACAAAGAAACCATTATGAATCTTTTATCTAACCATAATATACGAAATAATGATATAATGAAGGAATGCTCAATTAGATGCTCTAATTGTAAATCTACAGGTGTATCTGAATGACTGCAACAAACTTCAAGGGGTGATTCTCTAATGAATTTTAAGGGTACTTTAATATATGAACCATGGGCGACTTCGGCGCCCCTAAGGAGTTACACCCCTCCAAAAATGGCGGAAAATTTTGGTTTAATTTTTTTTTCTCAAAAACCATAAACGCTAGGAAAATGAAATTTGGGGAATATGTTTAACTCATAATAGGGCACGTTTTGACCCTATTTGTACTTTCAACCTACCCTTATAAACTACTAAACGTAACCACCCACTTTACATTTTTGCAAAATTTTTTTTAAGCAGATGATAAATACGTTAGAAAAAATTTGCATAGGTAGATGAAAGTATCCTTAAACTTTTTTGTCTCTCTAAAATTTTTCCAAAAACCACTAATTTTTGAAAAAAAAAATAATAAAGCAAACACTGCCCGTTAAACAACGGGGTTGTCGATCAAAAGTTGGAATGAATTTTTAATGAAAAAATCTTCGTAGGTCAGAAATATTTTTAACGTTTAAATGTCACTGTTTTTCTTACTATTATTATTGTCTTTCAAATTAATTTTTGAATAAAGTTCTATCGCATTTACGCTCGTTCACTCGACGTTTCAAAATTTTAGCTTAACAGTTAGTGTTTGCTTAATTATTTTTTTTTCAGAAATTATTAAATTTTAGACAGACAAAAAAGTTTTAGAATAGTTCTATCTATCTAACTGAAATTTTTCCAATGTCTTTATCATCTTCATAAAAAAATCTAGGCATACATTGAACGGGTGTGGTTACGTTTAGTAGTTTAGAAGGCTAGGTTGCAAGTACAAATACGGTAAAAACGTGCCCTATTATGACTTAAACATATTCCCCAAATTTCATCTTCCTAGCGTTTATGGTTTTTGAGAAAAAAAGAAAATTATACCAAAATTTACCAAAATTTCAACATTCAAATTCATATTCATTTTATTGTGTTTTAAGATATCTTCCTTTACACTCGTCATGGATTACTTAGTATTAACAAAAAATACATATATTATATAATTACAAATTGACAAAAAATTACATAGTTACGAAAGCAGTTACAATTAAAATTCAGACACAACATTCTGTGTTTAGGAATTCCTCAACAGAATAGAAAGCGCCACATAATAAAAATGGCTTTAAACGCCGCTTCAAAGAGTCATTTGAGAGACTCTTTATAATATGGGGCTCTTTAAAACCCCATATTTCAGCCAACGTTCATTCAAAAAAGCTCTAAATTGGCACGATTACTCTTCAGATGCTGGAAAATAGATTGTCATTTGTTGTATCGGAGTATCTTATACTGGATGGTCAAAAATTGAACAATTGTTTACAAAATTGAACAAAAATTGAACATTTATTTTGTATTGAGGGCGAATGTAATAAACTTTTGGAGAGGACGTGTCGAACACTTAATGAGAGATGCCTAACAAACCTAACGCCCATCACAAGGAAAAATTTCAAAATATTGATACATATTTTCTTGGTTTTGGACATTTTGAGACCAAAAGAAAGCGCGTATTTCCAGTCACCAGTGATGACGACAATGAAACACATATTTTATCGTATTTTATTACATTTCCAAATTCAATTTAATTATAAATTTATATTTTCATCCAAATCTAATTTTTATCATCAATTTTTTGTTTTAATTGTTTCATTTATTTGATCTTCTGTTTATTATTTTTGGTAAAAAAAAGCTAGTAAACTAAAATTTGGTTGAATATGGAAAAGCGGTAATTCAATTTTTGACCAGCGTGTGTAAGATACTCTGATACAATAAACGACAATCTATTTGACAGCATCTGAAGAGTAATCGTACCAATTTAGATCTTTTTTGAATAAACGATGGCTGAGATATGGGATTTTAAAGAGCATGTTGAAATTTAGCAAGAAAAGCTTAAAACCAAAATAACTCGAAAACGAAAAACGCCAGGTACCAATAACTTTTATGAAAGTCAACATATTTTTTTACGTACAATTAAAAGGTGTAATAAAAACTATAGCATTCCATTTAAAATAACGAAGTTATAGTCTACTTCCGGTAGACCGGAAGTGGCAGCCATCTTGAAAATATTTTAGATCGGAAGTTCCGAATGAACAACCCATGCTACCAACATTTCAAAACTGTACGAATAGTGGAACCTAAAAAAATATCTAACGATACAGTACCTGAGACACCTGTATATATTTTGCAACCAGGTCGGAAATTAGAGATTCGCGTTCGTGAACATAAGACTAAGAAAATTCTAATGTTTTTAAATACCATCTTGAGACTGGTCATCACATTAATTATGATGATATCAAATTTATTATTCATAAATGCGAAAAAGGTCCAAAATTAGATCTTTTGGAGTTACTAGCAATAATAAACTATAAAAATAATAAAGACTATAAACTTCCCAATGATCAAATTGAGGTTATTCAAAAACCTATTTTTGCCGTTCTTAAGAATTTTTAATTTAAGGAAATTTTTAAAGTTGTATATAATAGTGTTCTCTATCGAGCGCGTTCTACAACTTATCTTTTCTTTTTCTGTTTTCGTCGTTTTTCCGGTTTTCGCTTTCTTGTATTTTGTCTCTGTACCTATCACCACATGACACGACGTTTATTGATATATTTTTCATGTATTTTTCGTATTGTTATAATTGACACGACTTATTATATTTAATTGATTAATATTTAATCAATTTTAACTCATATTATTATATTTACACGTGAGTTTTTTATATACATTTTTACTCGTTCACTTTTTAATTTGATTAATATTTTTACAGATGTAACTACAAATTTTATTGTTCGCGTCCTACATTTTAATTTGTCAAACTTATGAAAGAACCTTTTTTTGCTTAAGTCTTAAAAAAAATTTTCTCTTTTTCGAATGTGTTTTCTAATATTTGCTTCAAATTTTGACGATAGGTACATATTTAGTTTTCGATTTATACATTTAATACCATAGTTGATAAAAATTCTTTTTGTAATACGCGACGGTAATGAAAGCTATTACAGTACTCAAACGGGTGCTGTAATGGGACTCCTTACAGCATCCGATGATGTAATGAGGTTTTAGTAACATTTTATGGAACTAGTTCAAGTTGGTGACATTAGGTCATTTTCTAAAATTTCTTAATCTTCTTGTCTTCGCACCACACCTTCAATTTATCGTACTGTTGTTCGTACCTTTCGTGGGACTGCTTTAAAAGTAGCGTTCCTGGGGCTTCGTCACTCGTTTTTAAACTTGAATTCGTACATTTCAAGCGTATCTTACGAAACTAGTTTTTTAATATACTATTACTTAATTCCATTATGAAAATTAAATTTTACATGTCTTTCTGACGTTATGTAACGTCACATTTTTTTATAACTAGTGATGTAATGAATTTCATTACCTAACTACAAATTGATAAATTCACATCTATCACTAATAGAATAAGTCAAGTTTTGAACAAAAATTGCTTTTTCAATGGAATTAGATAAAATTTTGTACTTAATACGATATGAAACGGCTAATTTTGTTTAACTCACGTAATTTGCAAAACTCGCTCGTTTTGGCAAATATTACGTTC